GGCTATTCCAATGAATGACTCTGGCCTTGGTGGTTACCTGCCTTCCTCCCAGAACATTCTAGTGGAATGTGTTTCCAATGCCAATTTGGGTACATGTTATAGCTGTGTTTAGGGGGTGGGGTGAGGGTTGGGAAGGGAAAACTATATGCTCTCCTAGGCCTAGTCTTGATTTAAAGCAGATTTGTTTGCTGGGACTCCCAACCTAGGAAGAGGCATCACCAAGCTTTGTAAGTCCTGTAACCTCCCTTACTGGTCACACGACATCCAGAATTCCCCAGCATCATGAAACTCTTGGGTTACTAAATGTCTTTCTCTGGCACTGTGAGGCTCCTTATAAGGTGGTTAAACCTCCCTTTTGTCTGCCTCCCTCCCACCTCTCTATAGGGGTGGGCAGTCTGCAAGGAATAGTCCTTCCACGACCAGCATAAAGGCAAGCCTCTGTTCTGCGGCTTCTACAATTGCTATTTAAGGACTGTCGGGAAGGAAGTGAGGACTGAAATGGCAGCTGAGCCCTTCCCCTTTAAGGAAGGTTACACCTTCTAAATTGGATGTAACATAAATGGAGGCAAGGGGGCAGCATCCATTCAAGGAAAGTGCAAGGGCTGCTGGTGGATTGTGCAAGAGGAGCTACAATTAGGCATGATCTGTATTAAACCTGGAATAATTTATCCTTGCACTCCTTTATACACAGCTGGCTGGCCACTGGCATCCGAGCACTACATTCAAATTGTCAAGTAACTTGAATACCTCCTACGTTGGCCAGCCAACACCCTGCAAGCCAATTGGGTGTCTGTGTCTGACACGCGTGCGCACACACACAGAAAGGAGCATTTAGTCAGCTGGTCCTTCCCAGTATTCCTTTCCTGCAAATGGATGGGAAGAACCTAGAGCAGAAACTGGACAGGAGTGTTTATAACATTGGATTTTTAATGTGAAAAGGCCGATGAAAGAGGGAGTACTTTGGTAGGAAAAGGGGTAGAACTTCCCCCAACATTCAGTTATTGAATATTAAGAATTTTGGAAATAGTGGTGAGGTAGAAAGGGGGGGTTGCTCCTGCCCCATCTCTAGGAGTACCAGTGTCTACTCTCTGAGAGTTAGTCAGGGAATTGTAAGTGAGACACGAAGCTAAGGTGTGACTAGTCCTTTACTGAGATTTACAAGCAGGCTGAATGAGTAACTGCAGGTTCAAAAGTGTTTGTGAGAAGGGAGGCAACCTTTCTACCCACAGACAAACTTTTCTGTTCAGGTTTCTGTATAATGCCCCTGTCAACCCTCCTGCAGCCATGGATATGGGCCTTTAGTGCCTGCACAAGCATTAATCAAAACACTTGGCTGTAAGTGCTTGTCTGTTGATGGCTGACTCTTCCCCTCCCTGTCTCCTACAGAGACTTCATCTGAATCGCTAAAGGTCGGTGCATACATTCTCATTGGAGTTGGGGCAGTCACCATGCTGATGGGGTTCCTGGGCTGTGTTGGAGCAGTCAATGAGGTCCGATGCCTCTTGGGTCTGGTGAGTGAATCACTGCTGCCTTTACTCCACCTCCCCAACTTCTCTTCAGGTTATGCCCCTATCCTCTGCTTCTCCCTGACTCAGTGATCTCCTTGCTGAGAGTGATGCAGGAGTGAGCCAGTGTCTGGGAACTGGAACCATCAGCAGGGCAGCCTCAGACTGGTTGGGGCTTTTGTCTACCATCTTGGCTACCTTCTCCCTTCTCTGCAGTGTATCTTTTTTCTCTCCCCATCTCAGTAACCAATTATGCAGAAAAGAAGTTTGCTCAGTGACCTCTCCCTGCCTCCATCCTCCTTGCAGCCCTGAGAGAACAAGACTATGTGCCAGAAGCGATGGATAAAGGGGGTGGGTGTGAGGAGAAGAGACTTGCTTCCTGCTGCAGTGCAGCTGTAATGGGATGTGGGGTGCAATCCAGTCTAGCAGGACTGTCCTTAAGATTTATGGAGCCTTATGCAGAAGTATTAAACTGATGCCCCTATGCCTGACTTGAGGCACAGCCATCGCCCCCCACCCGTGGACCCCCAGAAGAACCTCCCCCCATTCTTGACACACATTGAGCTTTGTACGCAGCAGACGCTGCAGCAGCCCGGGGAGGGGGGATGAGGCAGCAAAGGGTACCAAGCTGCCCGGCCTGCCTCACAGCGGCGGAGAGTCACAGTTCCCTGCAGAGACACCTCCCCCTCCCCCCCCACCACCACCCTCTCCCTCACTCAGAATGCACCGCGCTGGCACATTGGGCTCTGTGAATACGGCCCCTGCCTAAGGAGACTGCAGTGCACGTTTGGTGTGCAGGAGCTGACCCGCTCTTACCTGCTGTCCCAGTGGTGTCCCAAATTTTCGGGTGCCCTACACCGCTGCATATGCTGCAGGCTAGTAAGGGGTTGTCTCCACTTCCTTGTAATCCTAGGTGCCTTACAATGCTTTGCTGCTGTAGCTCACAGCCTGGGATGCTCACAGCCAGCCTACAAGCATGCATGCCACACCCTTGAATGTCTGGGTGCTGTGTAGCCAGCCCTGGTTCAGCAGCTCTGACCCGAGCAGCCTGTCTACAGGCTCACTTTGGCTTCCGCTGGCCTTGGTTACAACCAGGAATGTGACCCCAGTGCACTCCCAGTCTCTCTTCTCTTCCCCTGCGCCTCCCTCCTCCCCCCCCAAAAAACCCAACCCAACAACATTGTGCTGTGCAATGCCAAGCCCTCTCCTGGATGGCTCAGATAAAAATTTTTTTTGTTTTCTTTTAAACACACACAATCACATCCCAGCTTATTAACTTAAGTCTCCTCCATTCCATAGATTTGTAAAACTGACTTAAAAAAAAAAAATCAGTCTGAGCACACCAGCTGAGGAGACCATCCAAGGCCGTGCCACATAGCCACCCCTCAATCTGGTGCCAAGAGCAACTGCTGCCCTCGAGGCCCAGGGCTGGAATGTGGGGGAAGAGAGAGGTCTGAGCCTCTGCATGTTCTGTCACTTGCAGACACTGTAATTGGGGCTCCCCTACCTACCAAACTGGCTCATCTCCCCGCTGTGGAGTCTGCTCCTGCCAGGCCCAGCAGCTAGCCTAGTGGTGGAGGTAGAGCTGCAGGCCATGGCTGAAGTGTATTGGGCAGCTAACTCTAGCTAGTTCTGTTAGCTCTTCGTTTTCATGATCAGCCAGGAATCTCCAGACTGAATGCTGCTTACTCCTGTATGAAAGGCCTGTATTGTCAGTATTTGCCCTGAGCCCTACTGAGGCTGCTGCCCATAGATGTAGATTTGCTTGGGGAGCCAGCAGAGTTAACACCTTCTCTTCTGTTTGTTTTCTAGTACATCACCTGTCTGCTGCTGATCCTCCTAGCTCAGGTTGCTGCTGGACTGCTCATCTATTTCCAGCGAGATGCAGTAAGTTTCACTTCCCTATAAGCCTTCAAGAGACACAAGGGTTGGTACTGGGACAAAGACCTACAATACATTCCTCCTTATCCTATCTGGCTTGGTTTCTGGAAGCTCTTACTTTCCCAGCCTGGTTATGTCATGTGCAGGCAACGCAGTCAAGCTCTCTCCCCATCCAAGCTATCTCAACACCATACGGAATCTGCCCTGTTGTCCAGTCTGTCCCAATGTGCCTGCCAGGCCCAGCACCACCATGTATCCAAGGACTAGGAAGTTCCTTATTTTATTTTATTTGTTCACCCATGGGTACCATCAGAAGTACCAAACCCTTAACTTGTGGTCCTCATCTGGACACCAGCAAGTCCATGCGGCCAGCAGATCCCATTTATTCCACCCACTGCTGAAACACTCCATTTTGGGCCCCTGTTGATGTAGTCAGTCCTGGTTACCCACTGCTCATGAGCTCTCTCCATGTGCTGCCATTTACATTTAGGGAACGAGCTGCATGCGTTGGGGCTTGACTCATTCGAAGAGCTGAGTGAGAATAGCAAGTGAAACAGTCTGCCCCCAGACTTGTTTTGGGTCCGAGAACAAGAGCAGTGAAGGAAGCTGGTTCCTCTGTAGGACAGTTCTTCAGTGCTTCATTTTATGCTCGCCTGAAGTCCACAGCAAAGCTCCCATGGACTCTAATGGTGCAGCATCAGAGCCTAAATTCGGACTTGGGGAAACTCCGTTTCCTCTCCCCCTGTTGAAATGTAGAGAATTTGTGAATTGGGCTCTTAATGTGTATTTGAGTTCCTTGCCAGTGGAAAGACTAACTCTGTAGTTTCCATCCGTGTGTGTAACTGACTATGTGGGCGCTTGGACTTGAGCAGTAGTTGGGCAGATATGGTGGGTGGTGCTTATAGAAGTTTCCCTTGAGGTTTGGGGTAACCATGTTACTCACTAGCAGACCTAATGCAACCATCCCAACCCCCACCTGGCAAGGCTGTTGGTGGTAGCGGCTCCCAGACATGGTAGCTCTTCCTCCCTTCTGTGCTGTCTGGATTTCTGCTATGGAGTATCTGTCCGTAGTCGTCCTTGGTTGTGTGCACATGCCTGCTCCCTTCCAACTACCCTGCCTCCCATGCTGGGGGTCCATACAGCTCTGCCCTGTTGCGATCATGTCCCAGTCCACTTGCTTCATTTTCCGTCCCCGTCCCCATGACTATGCAGGATTGCTTTTGCATTTCAAACTCTTCCACACTTTCAGTTTCGGAGTAAGTGGGTTAATAGCTAATCTCTGTATGGGAATCCATTCTGTCCTTGAAGCTAGGGCTACCACATGTCCAGATTTCCCCAGACATGTCCAGCTTTTCGGTCTATAAATAGCCGTCCGGGGGGGATTTCTAAAAATGTCCGGGATTTCCCCCCCGGTCGGCTATTTATAGACCGAAAAGCTGGACATGTCTGGGGAAATCTGGACGTGTGGTAGCCCTAGCTTCAAGGGCAGAATGAATTCCCATACAGAGATTAGCTATTAACCCACTTACTCCGAAACTGAAAGTGTGGAAGAGTTTGAAATGCAAAAGCAATCCTGCATAGTCATGGG